GGTCCCACGCCAAATGCACCTCAGAGGTCCCATGTAGAGCCTTAAGCTCCGCGCCTTAAGGAGGTCTAAGGACGAGCTCTTGGACACGGCCTCCGTGGCTTCATGGACAGTTGTTGCGTGCGTAGTGGAGGCGTTAGATCTGGTCAAAGAGGTCCAAACTACCCTCCATTTTCTCGCAAGAGCGGTTGGAGTGCGGCTTAGTATAAGAACACTCCTCTTTGTCTCATTAGGATATCTCATTCACTCTCTTGTAGTAACATTACACAAGTCTTAATAAATTTTATCTCCGTGACCTACATTCTTGCAGTCTTTACGTTTATTACCTTTATCTTTATACATTATCTTTTAATTATTGAGTTATTTTAATCGGACTACCTGGGTCAATATAATCTATTAGTGATTTACCTTGTGCACGTATACCTTCAAGTAGGGGTTGCGAGTTTTTTCGTCACAAAAAAAAAAAAAAAAAAAAAAATTGTGGGTTATCCAAAAATTAAAGAAATGCCGAAAGTGTCTTATGAAATTAACTCAAGTGATAGACCACTTACCTTAAGTCATCACTTCAGTAATAAGGTATGGTAGTTTGACTCTTACCAACAACATTTTAGAGTTAGGACGACTCTACAAACTAGAGTTTGCCTTCTTAGACTCTTTAAATTGGCAGACTGATAAGCTGGAAGGCTATATATATGACATGACAAACCAACTAAGTCATGTAACAAATGCTTATCTAACAAGACTCCAAATTTGTGTAATAAGTGATGTAACAAATGCTTGTCATCAAGCAAAATGGCAAAAATGGCCTCAACGCTTATACATTAATACTGTGCCAACAGCTATATTCTTATCATCTTAATTATGTGACACCCATGCATGCAATTTCTCACATTATATTTCACCTGCATCTCAATATATATAATGCCTTTGTTTTTTTCTACACCACGAATCAGTCTACTATGTTCTTATCAACCGCAATTTACCTAAATTCCTAAACTGCCCAATTACAATCGGCACACTAACAATATGGTAGAAATTACAAAGCCGCCATAGATTTTCATGACTATGTAATTTGTATCATATTTACTTTTTGACTATTAATATTTTCAAATTAGATGCATGCACTTTGTAATTTGTATAACATTTGGTCCTATTGTCCAATTTTCAGACCAACTATATATTGTTGAAAATACTCTTTTAATTAGAAGATATTATTTTTTGTTGAAATTCCGGCAATAGTTTGTCGAAAACTTGACCAGAAAATTGGAATGCATGACCAAATGTGATACAAATTACATAGTCATGCATGCACCTAGTTTGAAAATATTAATAGTTAAGGGCCAACTTTGATACATGTACAATAGTCAAGGGACCAAAAATGAAATTTTTTCTTGTAATATTTATATGTGAAATTGTGATACTATTTAGGGTAAAATTATTGTTACTAATGATAAATATTGTAATACTTATAATTGAATTTTGATATTTATAGAGTGTAATTCTAATGTAAATATTGCAATAATTATATGTGAAATGTTACTTATGAAAGAAATTGTAATACTTGTTGTAAAAAATTTAATACCATCCAATTGGAATTAAAAATAAATCATATCGTTAATTACTTATGATAGATATTGTAATACTTATTATATGTGAAATTGTGATACTATTTAGGTTAAAATAAATTGTTACTAATGATAAATATTATTGTAATACTTATAGTTAAAATTGTAATACTTACACATATATATCCAGTTGTCTACAATATAATCTGACTCGTCTCATAAACAAGAATGCGTAAGATGGTCTCATATAAGTGTTTGCTAGAGTATTTTGGGGCAAATTATAATGTTAGCTATTGATAAATGTTTATTTTTAGAACATTAAAGCTTACTACATACCTAAAAATGAACATGAGTACATTAAAAATGAATTTTCAAAAAAATCCGCATTCAATATACTAAAGTTCAACATTTATGTAACTAGCCTCTACCTTGCAACGTGGATTATGATCCATTGTATAATGATGAGTATTTCGGGATGCAGATAGCTTAACCGTTACTCGGTACTAATTTACTATCATTACTCTCTCTTTCTCTCTCTCTCTCTCTCTCTCTCTCTCTCTCTCTCTCTCTATATATATATATATATATATATATATATATATATATATATATATATTACATATTACGTTCATACTTATCCATGCATGACATTCATATGTATGACGTATCTCAAAACTTATTTATCTACTACTTTTGTTATCATTTATCTATATGTACTAGTTAAATAGTGCGTTGCGCAACTAAATAAATATCCAACGTTAAAAATAATGTGTATACTTACATTATCAAAATAAATTAAAAACTACTATAATATCACACACAATTGGTAATTAAATTATTAATTTGTTTAGAATTTTATACTCATCAATCATATACAACTATTTACGCTATCAAATATATAATTATATGTAGTTGAATAATAAATTACTTCATTTTGTTGAAATTCAAAGAAATGAAAGAGAAAATATTAATTTGTTTTTAATTGTCACAAGATTTGAACTACAATTTTTATATATACTAACACCACAAAAAAATTAAGCAGTTAAAAAATAAAATTCAACAAAATCAACAGAAAGGTTTTTTTTTTTTAATATATTTTTTTAATAACAAATCATAAGGATTGAAATGGTGTAGGAAAACTAAGAAGAAAATGGTAAAATTAGAATGTATTTGTAAAAGTACAAGAAATCAAAACTAAATGTATAAGTTATCAATAAAATCAACTACATTAACATTTTAACATATCTTTAATTCTAATTAATTATAACTTAACAGCTAGATTTAACAATATTAAGAATTATTTTTTTAAAAAATGAAAGATAACATTGAAAATTACTTGCATCAGTTTATGAAAAATAATATAAGGTACAAAATTTTAATGCAACTATAACACTAACACACATTTTATTCCATTATATATAACCCTAACATTATTGGGTTTTATTATAGTTAGTAGATATTCGGCAAATTATTGGTCCACACAGTGATGTGTGGACTATAACAAAAAGTACATTTTAATATACTAAAAGTACATTATTTGTGTAGTGAATGTACATTATACAAAATAATATACTTTTACTGAATACAATGTATATTTTTAATATATTAAAAGTACATTTTATATATTTGAAAACGAATATAAATTAGTTAATAGTATGATCCACACAATAATAATTGTTGATATCTTACTCATTCCATCTACCTACCTAATACGAACCTAACCATATACAAAATTAATACCTCTATCACTATATTTTCAGAAAAAAAGAAAATAAAAAAATACCTCTATCACTATCATCATTTACTAACATTAATCATTATTTTTTTCACCTCTTCTATTTAATTTACCCCCGAATTATTGATCTGGTTACCACTATTGCCAATTTGAAAGCTACTTAATACCATATATAGTTACTACACATTGATAATTTTATATGTAAACTGTTAAACATTAATAATAATTTCATATTCTATAATTCAAAAAGATATTTGAATTTCAAGAAAAATAAAAATTTAGGGTGTGTTTGGAAACGCGAAAAATGATTTCTAAAAATCATTTTTTTGGTTTTCAGTGTTTGACTAGAGGGGAAAAATGAAAATGGAAAATAGGGGTATGGTCAATGAAAAATATAGGGGATTTTTTAAAAAATGACTTTTTTTTATGGAAGTCATTTTTTGTTTGCCGCAGTGGAACAACCAATCACCCACCGCCACACCACCACCACTCACCACTACCACCACCACCATCATTGTATATTTTAAATATTTAAAATTAAAAATAATTATGCTCATTTTCCAAAAAATGAACCAAACACACCAAGACACTTTTCTAGAATGCAACAAAACACTGAAAAGAAAAATATTTTCTGAAAAATGACGAATATTTCAGAAGTCATTTTTTTACTTTTCAAACACACCCTTAGAAGATTTTAAAAATTGAAAAAAAAAAATAGTTTCTACAACTAACACGACTCTTATATAATGTTTTTTACACGACTCTTATTTAATTTTTGTGTTTATAACACGTGGACTTGACTACGGAGTATTTTTTTTTTAATTTTAATTTTTTTTTTAGGTTTGGTTATTTAATTATGGATTTGGAGAATGAGAAAGGGATTTGATGTCTCTGATCGATGTGAATTAATCGGTAATCATCATCACCATCGCATCCTATCAGCTATCATAAATTGATTGAACATTCTAATGAAGTTATGTCTTTCGGATAGGACTAAAATTCTTTTAGATAAAATTAGTAATTTTTGAGCATTTTTTTTTTGTTTTTTAGTTCTGCACATATTTTATCTTGAGAAAAATGTAATTTTAATTCCTTAATTGTTTCTTACTAGCGTTAATCTATAATTTTTTTGGATAAATAGTTATGTGAGCTCATTTTATGTTCCCAAGTTTCATAAAAGACAAAATACTACTCCTGTCGTTAGAAATTTTTTTCTTCATCCAACCAAACACCCTTATTTGATTCGTAAATTAGTTATATGATGCAATTATAAACAAGTTACCACATACTTTAGCGAAGGTGTCTTACTCTTAGTTTGGGTATCCTGAGTAGATCTTAACGGTAAAAGACACCTTTAAAATTATACTATATTTAGATTAATCTTTATCCATACCGAGCCAGCCCAATTAAAAAATAAAATAATGACCATATTAATTTTCCATATTAGAGATGTTCGAACTCCTAATCTTTCTTAAGAGATAAGAATATACGGTTGCTCACGTCAACCAAGCTGGTTCGGGCACATATATTTGATAGGGAGTAGCACCTTTGTCACAAAGGCTTTGTGTATTCTTCAGGTAATGCAATATACCTCACTTTCTTCACTTTCAAAAGTAAAAGTTTAAATTATAATCTAATCCCACTTGATTCCCAAAGTATTGGTTTAAACACAGGTTGTGGGAATTAGGAAGGTGAAACAAGGAAGTTGGTGGCGATTTTTGATTCATTTTCAGAGTAGAGAAACGTCTGATCTGTGGATATCCATCCACCAAACACCTTCCCTCCCTCCTTCTCAACTACCACTTTCTAGCTCTTCAGCTCTTTCTATATATTGTGATTCTTATCCTCTCTGCAACTGTTCTTCTTCCTACTTGTCTCCTTTCCATTTGTATGTAGAGAGAGAAGAAGAAGAAGAAGAAGAAGAAGAAGAGGTCATGGTGGTGGGGGAGAGAGTGAAGGCTTTCTTCAATGATAGATGGCTGGTTTTCGTGGCTTCAATGTGGGTACAGTCTTGCTCCGGCATCGGCTACTTGTTCGGCAGCATCTCTCCGGTGATCAAGACCGCCATGGGCTACAATCAGAGGCAGGTTGCCATGCTCGGCGTCGCTAAGGACTTGGGGGATGCTATTGGCTTCCTTCCCGGGGTCCTCTGCGAGATTATGCCCATCTGGGTCGTCCTCTTCATTGGCGTTTTGCAGAACTTCTTCGGCTATGGCCTCGTCTGGCTTATCGTCGCCCACAAGATTCCTGAGCTCCCTCTTTGGCTGGTCTCTATCTCTTTGCTCCTCATCAATTTCTTTATTTCTGCTTTGCTTTCTCAATCTCAATCCCTCTCTAGTGTTTTTCGATGACTCTCTCCATTCTCTATTACTGGATTAATTAATTATTGACTCATCAGATCTGATCTTATTGCTAAGTAATATAAGGTCAAATGAATTTATTGATTCTTTAATTTGATTCCATAGTTAGTTGCCTGTATGAGTATTTATGAATCACCATTGAAAACCTAGCTTCCTTTAGCATAGATTCTAATATCAATGACTGAAATCCTTATTACCATCCTGAATAATATTATAGGCCATGGTCATCAAATCCATGGAATAGTAATCTTAACAACTACTAATGAAGTTCTTCTGTTTTCTAGAAAGTTTTTAGCAAATCCAACCTTAGGTCATGGATATTAATTGTTTATTTCTCAAAATTTAGACTAAGGTACTTGAACATTACTCTCACCATTAAACTAGACTATATTCTTTCTTTTCTGAGCTAGTTATATCCATCATTCCTATCTGAACCTTATTTATGCTCATTTCCAAGCTGCACATAATTTTTCTGGTGTTTCAAATATCTAGTTGTTTATCGTTGACTATGTTAAATAATGTGGTGTTACTCCCTTTTGTATATGAGTGTGTGGGCATTTTATTACCTTTATTTTGTTTCAGCTTACATAACTGTAAGCGCAATGAGAAATTGAGAATCCTGTTTTTCTCTATTGTAGTTGCTGACCTAGGACTTTTTGTTGCAGCTTTGCGTTTTGATATTTGTGGGAACAAATGGCGAGACATACTTCAATACTGGGGCTCTAGTTTCCAGTGTTCAAAATTTCCCCAAAAGCCGTGGTCCAATAGTTGGAATACTGAAAGGATTTGCAGGGTTAAGTGGTGCAATTTTGACACAACTTTATACCATGATCAACTTCCCTGATCAATCATCACTGGTCTTCATGGTTGCTGTTGGGCCATCGATTGTGATCACTGCTGTGATGTTCTTAGTGAGACCTGTGGGAGGTCACAGACAAGCTAGGCCATCTGATCAGTCAAGTTTCCTATTTACTTACAGCATTTGCCTTATTTTGGCAGCATATCTGTTGGCAGTTCTGCTGCTCCAGGATTTAGCGAGTGTGAGCCAAAATTTGATAACCGTGTTAACCATTGGCTTGGTTGTTCTTGTATTGCTTCCAATTACAATCCCTACTATTTTGGTTTTCTTCCCGGGATCAAGATCTCAATTAGAGGAAAGCCTTCTCCCTGGATCTGAGAAACAAGAACCCTCTAAGTCTGGAGAGGATTCGAAAGAGGTAATTTTCAGTGAACTTGAGGAGGAGAAACCTCCAGAGGTAGACACACTTCCACCACCAGAAAGACAGAAAAGGATTGCTCATTTGCAAGCTAAACTATATCAAGCTGCTGCAGAAGGAGCAGTTAGGGTGAAGAGGAGAAAGGGCCCACGCAGGGGCGAGGATTTTACTTTACTTCAGGCACTTGTAAAGGCGGATTTCTGGCTCATTTTTATCTCCCTGGTACTAGCATCTGGTTCTGGCTTAACAGTGATTGATAATCTTGGTCAGATGTCCGAGTCTCTAGGGTATGCCAATACCCATGTATTTGTTTCAATGATCAGCATCTTTAACTTTCTTGGCCGTGTTGCAGGTGGATACTTTTCTGAAAATATTGTAAGGTGCGTCATGGGTTTTTAATCTGTCTCTTTTCCAGTTTAACTATATTATAGTATAGTATAGTATAGTATATCATTGATTTTTGCGATCTTCTCTGATTTCTAGTTCTTTTCTTCAGAAATTATGCATACCCAAGGCCAGTGGCAATGGCTGCTGTTCAAATTGTTATGGCATTTGTGCTTTTCTTTTATTCCATGGGCTGGCCGGGCGCAATTTATGTACTCTCTGTCATGGTAGGCCTTTGTTATGGAGCCCACTGGGCAATCGTCCCAGCTGCGATTTCTGAACTTTTCGGATTGAAAAGCTTCGGAGCATTATATAATTTCCTTACATTGGCAAGTCCAGCTGGTTCCTTGGTCTTCTCTGGAGTAATAGCCAGTGGCATCTACGACTACCAAGCAAAGCAGCAACAACAACTTACCCGAGCATCAAATTTACTTGCTGATGATGAAGTCCTTACGTGCACTGGTACCATATGTTACTCTCTCACTTGTGGTATAATGTCTGCTCTCTGCATTATCGCGTTTGTGTTGAGTTTGATCGTTGTGCATCGTACTAAGAGGGTTTACGCCCAACTCTATAACAAGGCGGGTAATTGAGCCTAAAAATGGGTATGCTATGATCTCTCTGCAAGCTTGGGTTTTTTAAATATCCAGTTTTGCTTGCTGGATCATTCCATACATTATCAGAAGAACGAGAGGAAGCACACAAAACGTACGACTACTTCCACATGTTCCCGGAGACTGAAGCCAGCCCGCATCAGATCTCATTTATTCGTAAGCTGCTGTAATTTGTTTTGTAGGAACTGCTTATTGTATTCAAATGTTCTTTGGCCTTTTAAATTTTGCATCAAGGCCCATTCAAGATGTGGGAAAAGTTGATCATTTGCTTGGACTGTAAGTGTTGTGAATGGGAGGAGTGATGGATATTGTACTGTGAACCATATTTAAGTCTTTATTAATGGAAAAGTTGAAGTGCATTTTGTTCATTTAAAAGGACTGATCTTTGTTTAAGTTTACAGCAGTGACTATATGTAATATTATTGCCATTGTAATGCTCCTTGTTCAAGTGTAATGCTAAGGATTTTGTGAATTGAAGAGTTGGAGCAGCAGGGAAATAATAGCAGACATTCTTAATATTCCTTTTGTTCATATGTACGTTGGCCATTTACTATATTTATGGTACATTATGTGGTTTGCTTTTGTAAAAATAAAATTTACAGGGTCAAAAGATCTATGAGATCTATACTATGAATTGCACTCTGGTGCGAATATGTGAATGCTTGATATCCATCCACGTGTCCAGATCTAATGGATGAGAAACACTGATTTTTAAACAAAAATGCGGTGACATTTTCGTAAATAATTAAACATCGAAGTGCAAGTAAAATGTATTACAAGTGCATGTAAAATGTATTATAGGTGCAAGTAAAATTTACACTGAGCATCAATACTAAGTGCACTTATAGTTATAAGTAGTTGCACCTAGGTGCATGAATGTTTGCGGGTGGTTTTCACGGGTACTACTACCTGCTGAACTCGAACTCAGATCAATGAATGTTAACAATGCAAAATTACATGCACTTGCAGGCAAAAATGGGTGCACTTGGAGGTGAAAATAGGTGCACCCGATCAATGAATGTAGGCAAAAACTACATACACTTGCAGGCAAAAGTAAGTGCATTTATAGGTAAAAGTAGGTGCACCCGATCAATGAATGCTGACACGTGACGCGCGTTGATTGGTTCGCATTTCTCTCCTAGGTATCTATTCGCACCTGAACGCGACAATTTATACTATATTACTATCTACAGTAGTTGGGTCAAAAACTTCCATTAGGGGTTCATCAAAATAATGAATTGTAACAATTCCTACCATTGTCTATTTCGTCGGCAAATATTTTGTGATAAGCAAAATGAAAACCTAATTTTTCATCACAAATATGTCATTATTCTAAATTGCAACAGATTCTCATGATTTACCTACATAAATTTTTGTATGCATCTTCGTGTTGTCTTAATAAAAAAAAAAAAAAAAAAAATTAGATAATTAACAAACGAATGATACAAATGGAGTTAATATCCAAAATGGTTCTCGACTATAATAGTTTTTCTCAATTTTATCCTAGACGACTTTGGTGACATAATGTAGTCTTAGACTTTTGTGTTTTTGCTCAATTTAGTTATCCGTTCGTTATTTCGTCCATTTGGTGTTAAATAGAGGGGTCATTTAGTAATTTTAATATTGACATGTCATTACTTTTAGACTTGCGAAGTGCGAAATCCCTTTTTGTTTTACGAATTACTCCTAAAATTACTCCCAAATCTGCGCATATAAAATTTGATTCGCAAGTCTGGGGGTAACTCTGAGAGTAATTTGTAAAAGAAAGGTGGATTTCGCACTTCGCAGGCTGAGAATAAAGACCAATATTGAGATTACTGAATTGCTCCTTTATTTAACACCAATTTGACGGAGTAACAAACATATAACTAAATTAAGCAAAAACACAAAAGTCTGGGACTATATTAGATCACCAAAGTTGTTTAGGATAAAATTGAGAAAAACCACAATAATCAGAGACTATTTTAGATATTAACTCGATACAAATTGTAAAAATGTCACATTTCTTGTATTCCGTTTATCCTATTTTATATGGCATGCGCAAATAAAATTTATATATTTAAAATTATATTAATAATTCTATTAAACACAAAATAATCAAAATAAAAAATTATAAAAATTGTATAAGAAATGTATTAAAAATTTTGAAAAGAAGTGTTAAATTGACTAGCAAATACTAAAGATTATGACATATAAAATGAGAAATAAGGAGTAGTTAATAATAATATTATATTATTTTTTAAAAAAAATAATACTATATTTTTAGAGAAATTTTAATTTTTGATCCTATGAGCATTAGACCATTTTCACATTTGATCATTGACTATTAAAATTTTTAAATTTAGTCATATTACTTTTAAATTCCTACTACATTTAGTCCTTATACTTTGACAACTGAATTGTATTAAAGACAAAACTTTCATTTTTTTTTCTTTCCTAAAATTCAAAATTTTCCCATGCCTTCAAAAATTTTCACAACCCAATTCGCTATTCCTCTTCCCCTCTTTCACAGATCCCTCTTCTTCCACTTTTTCTAATCGAAGGAGTAAGATTGCGAAGAAGAAGAGTAGTAGAGTGGCAGTCATCGCGGCCGTGGAGGAGGAGATGCATCAGCGCTGTGGCGGCATAGGTGGTGGAGGGACGGTGATGACTCCAAGCCCAACTGTTATTGCTTAGAATTGATGTTGCCAAACTATAAAGAAAATTGAAGTTGCCGTCCGAAATAATTTGTGCTGAACGGATTAATTATCGCTGCTACCGCCAAAGGATTAAACAGCTGCTGTTACCGAACAAATCTGGCATGAAAATCGCTACCGTCGAGAAAGGAAAAAATATGAAGTTTAAGAAAAAAATTAAATGACAATTTTACCCTTAAAATAATTCACTTCGCAGAAATATGATCACCAGTGGATGAAATCTTGATCGGAAGGATCAAATGTGGTAAGAATTTAAAAGTTGTGGACTAAATCTGAAAATTTTAATACTCTGTGACTAAATATAAAAATGAATTCATGTTCGTGGGACCAAAAGTGAAAATTCCTCACATTTATAACTATATTTAAGATTTTTATTTATTTGATTTAGAATTTTCTTAATTAATTGTAATAATCAATTCATTATACTTTTTTAATACATTATTAGATTCTATTAGTAATACTTTATATTTTACAAATTGAGGTTGAATGTGATCGAGGCCCTTGCTTTAATTTGTATAACATTTGCAAAACTCATGCAATGTGTCATGGATATAATAAGTTTTAATTTGAGAAAAGGTCTGAAAGAAATTAAAGCTATTCAAATATTTTCAAAGAAGGGGAAGTCTGGGCATGTAAACCGGTCTTCTCATTGGAATTATACAACGATATGAAATGGTGGAGGTTCTTAGTGATTTCTATGCAACGCAAGAATGTAGAGTTACTCTATTACTCAAATCTCCAAGCTTTGGTCACTATTGAATATATGAAGGGTTATGATAAAAAATGTTTAGTGCAGTGAATGGAAAGAAAGAGAGAAGTAAAACTTGTCAAAATAATTTAAGATTTTTAACTAATTATATATAAGTGTTTGTATATCTATCTAATATATAAACACTAATATTTGTTAGCAAGGTCAATTAATAACACTAATATTTTATTTTATTTTATCTATGCGTATATATTTTTTTTGAAAAGTTTAAAATTGACGCATCAAAATATATAAAATTAGAGTTATATTGATCAATTTAAAATAACATTAAACTTACTTTTTATATATATAATATTTTTCTCTAGTCTCACAAATTTAAATTGTAATTTAAAAATTATGTGTTAGACATTATTATTTACACCTATATATATAAAATTTGCCTTTATAGTGAACGTATTGGATTTCATTGATATAATATATGAGATTTGATTATATAAAGTATTTTAAAAATATACATAATAACTTAAATTTTAACATAGTATCAGAGCATCAATTTAAATTTTAATATGGTATCAAAACATCAAACTTAACATTCTATAACTTTTGGCGTAATGATAGATGTTTGATCCTAACAATTGATATCATAGGTAGTTCACGTTGTTGGTGTAGTGGTTGAAGTGCTCAATATTTTTGTTGTTAATGAGAAAAAATTCAATGGCGAAGTTAATTGGTATGTTGTGCTCGATGCAGATCTCTCAACAGATGAGGGAACACTTAGATTGCTGGCTTTTGCATTTCATCTTGACAATAATAAATCAACTAGCTGATAAAGCATTAGAAGCTGTGTCTAACGTCATCTGCAGAGTTTTTCGCACTGTTGGTCCCACCACTATAGTGGCACTATTTCAAACCTTGTAATCTCAGTCTATGACTATTGTTTTTTTTTTTTTTTGTAAAAATGGTCCTTCCGGTCTATTTTCCATCAATTTCTCACTGGAGTAAGAACCATTTCCGTCAAAAGTGGGCCGAAAAATTGACAAAAAATTGGCAGAAGGACCATTTTTTGCACCAAAAAAAAAAAACAATAATCGTGGATCGAAATTCTAAAATTTGAAAGTTGTTGATCAATCATGATAATGTCACTATAGTCGTGGGACCGAAAGTGCGAAAAACTCCTCATCCGCTTAAAATTTCTCCATTTCCAAATTCTAGTTAGATTTTTTTTTATTTAAATAATTTGAGGTGTTGCCTTTCTAACACAGCAGAATTGCAAATGTTGCAATTCTGGTGTCAGAATTATATCATAATGGCAATTCTTTTTTTTTTTTAATAATTATAATTATCTTTATTAATAAAAAAATATTTATTTAATAAAGTGATATGAAAGTGAGACCATTTTGAAAGAGAAGAGAGAATTGTATGGATGATGAGAGAGTAGTAAATAATTACAAATTTTGTGATTTGACATTTTGAAAGCGAGAGAAGATTGCAAGGGAGGCTATCCGGATCATTGTAATCTTCTCTCACTTTCAAAATGACATATCACTAAATTTGTAATTATTCACTATCTACTCTCTATTCATGTAATTATCTCTCATCTTTTAAAAGTGGTCCCACTTTCACAACAATTCCAATACAAGACATTTGCAGATTCTGTTATTTAAGGCTAACATTATCCTTGCAAATCTCTTTCACGTTCTAAAAAGGGTCACACTTCTATATCATCAATTTTGTAAATTCTTCACTATTTATTTTATATCCCTGCAAATCTCTATCACTTTTAAAAATGGGTCCCACTTTCATATTATATTATAAATATAATAATAAAATAATATGAAAAGAAATAATAAAAATAGAAAAAAAATCAAAAGTTGTGCTACGCCTGTGTAGTGGTCGTCCTTTTCAACAATTTTGCAGCCTTTTCTCATTTGTAAATTCTCTCTCCTACTACAAATTTAGCCAATTCACTC